TATATATAAATATTGGAGCTATTTCAGTATCAGTATCCTGTGCAAGTAGTTGAATATAAACGATTCATGTTTAATAGTTACTTGCTCGTCCAAAAAAAAAAAATGTTGCCAGTTTGTGATTTCCAGGGAAGCTTTCGCGCTCTTTCATACTCTAAGACTTCATGAATGTCCTGTTTCAGAGTAAAGCGAATGGACTAATGGACGAATCTGTCCATAAATCTGCCTAGATTAAAAGAAGGGGTTTGAAAAAGTTTAAACAGCATTTTTAATAAATTACTCTATTCATAATGTTAATTGCATTTTACTTATGTTTCTTTATTTATTTTGTATAGAATGCTATTTGAGTACATTAGGAGTGGCGATTGGATTTTCATCAGCTCAGACTTTAACAGATTTTGTAAGTAAATGTCACCTTTTCTTAATAACTTTAATTTATTCCATTTTCTCGGCTGTACATTTTTGACTAAAATATGTCAATAAAATTTCAGAGCACTGCTGTAAAAAAGGGACAAAAAGGAGATATTTCAATACTTAAGCCAACTTTGTTTCTTACTGTGCCAGTAAGTTTTGATGATTTAATTTTTTGCCACATTTATTTATTTGTTTGTAAAAATTTAGTTCCGGTACAGATTTTTTCGTCCCTTTCAAATTTTGATTTTTGTTAAAAAAAAAAAAAAAAAAAAAAAAAAAAAAAAAAAAAAAAAAANTAAAAAAAAAAAAAAAAAACTAAATTAGTAGTTAGATAACAAAGTAGGTCTAGTCTGATCTAAGATATCAGCATTTTAGATGTCAGTGACTGTTGCAGCCTGTAAAATACTTTAGAAAATATACTGCAGGTATGTTCTGTGTGTTAGAAAAGCATATATAACAGAGGAAGTAGTTTGTGCATTGAACTTGTAGAGTAACGATAGCGCAGTGTTGTCTTTAGATTGTGAATCTGACTATAATTATAGAAGTTATAAAGGGAAAAGTGTTACCAAGTTGTGGAAAGTGTTCCAAAGCACAATCTTCCCGGTCAAAGTAAAGATTTGACTCTTAATTTTTTTTCAATGCCCACCTGGGATGACATTTCGTCAATTCAGGTGTGGGGCCTCAGGTCTTATTAAACTCTTAAGAGAATTTTTTTATTCTCTTCTATTTTTAATGGCGGGCACTTGGGGGTTGTCCCATTGGCCACAAAAATGCCAGAACTGCTACTCTCTTCTCGTTACCCAGTGGGCACCTGTGGCGAAGCCACAGGCGGTGAAGCAGCGTCGATCACGTCACACAACCACAAACCCGTTTATAGGGCGGATCGCATTCACACAATCACACACAAAGGAGAAAGGACATAGAACACAGAGAGAAAGAAACATCCATGCCCTGACCAGGATTCGAACCCGCAACCAGCAGCTCCGCAGTCAGGCACGCTAACCAGGTCGGCTCTTATGAGACTCTTATTAAACAGCAAATACATAAAAAAATTCAAGACTTTTCATCGTATTTTTTAAATAAATATTTGTATAATATGTTATAGTATTATATTACAAATCATATTAATTTTAAAATAATTTTTTATTACAGCTAATTCTAGATCGTATTCGAAAAAGCATTATTCAACTAGCAGGCAAAGATGATACCTTTAAGAGACTGATGTTTGACTTCGCCGTTGAATATAAAAATTTTTGGGATGCTAAGGGGTTTCAAACCCCTCGATTAAATAGGTAAATATTTTTTAATACAATATTATACTGTTCTCATACTCAGCTTCTTATTTCCTATTAAATTATGAAATTCATTCAAAATAATTTATTTTTATATTAATAAATACAAACTTGTTAGTTACCGTTGCACTTGGTATTATCGGCAACCTTCGAAACAAAGCACTTTGATGTCTCCAGATCGAGAAGTAAAATGCATCATTTATACTTATCATCTTTTAGAGCGTATGATGATATTCGTGCTCCCCCCCTCAATTTAACCCTTAAACGGATGGTTGCAACCATATAAGTGGCATGGCCCTTTCAGTTATTCGGTGCAGTACCGTAGATATAATAGTTAAAATCATTTTATAATTTCTATCATTCTTACTGTTGCCATATTAACAGTTAATTTAATTGCAATCATTGTAATTAGTTATTGCAATCAATTGTTATAATTATATCTGGTGAGAAGTAGGCTTCTTCCGGACCATTAAGGGTTTAAATTTGGAGAGATCATTCTTATATACAAGATTTTTCGTAATTACCACCCTTAATACAAATGATTAAAATCCTTTTAAAAAGTATGCATATTGGTGGTCGTTAATTAATATTTAATCTTACGAATCAATGCTCAGGAAAGTGACACTGAAAACATCATAACCCGTTTTATTGCCGGAGGAAACAGAGAGAAGTTAACAATTGGTTAGTATAAACACCTTAAAGTTTCATCAGGTAATTAATGCGTTTAATGTCATTTGTCTTTAGGATAACCAATGTAGTTTTAATATTTTTCATCTCACCTTCCTCACTTGTCATTTTGTCATCCGAAAGAAAGATTTCGATATAGTTTTATTTCTCTCTCACTGTAATATTTCTTTTAAATCCCAAATGTGCATACTTTTTAACTTCATTTTTCATAAAGACTATAAAAATATTTTCATAATAGTTTCTACGGAACACCTTGTAATGAAAAGATAGCAAAAATCATACATTATAATTTTAAAATTTAAGCAGAACTTAACTAAATTTACGTTTCGTGAAACACAATTCTTGTTCTTTAAAACAGTTTCAGGTTGTTAGAATCAATTGCCAAACAATACCTAAGTCATTTTAGAATGTAGTATAGTTAAATTTTTATATTTTTTCATAAAACAGGCAAAAATGACGCGTTAATTTTCGCTGTATTTTGTATACACAACTACATGATCAAAAATATTAACTTCATACTACACACTATTATTATTTTCAACTTCATTTCAAACAAAAACTGCATTATTTTAAAATAAACATTATAAGATATGCCTTTCTTATGAAAACAAAAAATTTTACAGTACATAATTTTGTAAAAAGATTTAGTATGTTAGCATATTTCTTTACTATAACTAAACAATGAAATAAAAGTACTTAAATAACAATAAAAAGTACTTAAATAACAACTGAAACTACCGTCAATTTAATATTAAAGATGCTGAATAAAGCATAGCAAACGGAAAATATAAATATCAAAATTAATGATTTATTGAAATTACATACATTTGCTGACTTGTGTGCTCAATATATAGGCTTATAAGTCATTGTCAAGTAGAAAATACAGATAGAACAATTCAGAGAAAGACATCACAAAGAATACATCCAGGGTTACGGCGGGATTCGATCCCGCTACCTCCACGCTTAACAGAGCGTTTGGACCGGCGATACCGCTTGGCCAGGGAGGCCCCTCAAAATTAATGCCATTCAATTTCACTTCCTTTAAAAAGTTTATACATAATTTGTTGCCAGATGCGTTTAATTAATAGTATATAAAGAAATTAACAAATATTAATATTTTTAATAGCATTACAAGCAAAAAAAAAAAATTCTTATTAGCTCAAAACTACATTGTTTACATTTAGTTTTGACGTTTTCAGTGCACTTCCGGTGTTTCGGAATCTCACTTCCGGTTTCAAAATCAGCTATAACTTTGCTTCTAATTATCGAAATTTTAAAAACAAAACATTTTTAGAATCCTAAGAGTTCATTCTTTTCAAAAATGCAAAAAACAGAAATTCGAATTATTTGATGAAATCGGTCATTTTAAGGCAGGCAGACCTTAAGACTAAATTTAAATTCGACATATCTTATGCAAATTATCTCCACACATTTTGCAATCGCATGTAAGATTGACAAAATCTTTATTTATTTATTTCATGATCTCTTTTTAGACCTTAAAAATGCTTCTATGTCGAATTTTATTCTTTAAAACCTTTCTACAAATAAAAATATCAGCACTTGCTTATAAAATGCGTATTATATTTCTTCGAACATTGCTCTAGCAATCTGAAATAATTCTTTTTCTTTTATCCTTAGAAATTTGCTACAGACTTATAAAGACTTCATGGGCGGAAACCTACGAATAATGTGTTGCGGCAGTGCACCTCTTTCACCAGATACTCAAAGATTTATTCGATCTGTTTTGAATGTTAATGTCATTCAAGGGTATGGATTGACAGAATCAGTAGCATCTGCTACTGGAATGGACTGTGAGTTCCTAATATATATTGTCATATTATTTACGAAATTATGTCTTCATTTTTTTCATAGCGAAATTCACGTTTCATAGATATTTAATAATTAGCAATATAGTATGACAGTTTACGGTCACATAAAAGCCTACATTTAATAACTTTTATTTGTGTATTCTGTAGGCTTAAATAAAGCGATTTCCATTTTGGTATGATCGCTGAACTTTAAGCACCAAATTTACTTTTGACTACATATTGTATTTTATGAATTTATATTAAAATAAGTAATATTTATTTTTTAGGTGAGGATTATAGTGTTGGAAGAGTTGGTGCACCTTTATCGACTTGTAGATTACGTCTTGTGGATTGGAAAGAAGGTGCATAACAATTTTGTTATTTTCGGCATAAAAAATGTGAATGAGAGAGAAAGTAATAAGGGGAAAACATTTTAGAAATTTAAAATAAAATACATAAAGAAATAGCATTAAATCAGGGACAGAGATTAATTTTATACATTTGTATTTGATCTACCTTTTTGTCATTAATTGAGTCGTTCAGTTGTTGTTGTTGTAATTGTAGTTCATTTACGTCGCACTAGAGCTGTGCAATAGGCTATTGGCGACGGTCTGGGAAACATCCCTGGAGATGATCCGAAGACATGCCNGATCCTCTGAAGAGGGGATGGCACCCCCGCTTCGGTAGCCCGACGACCAGCACGCGAAGTCGAGTACTTTACGGTAGAACAGTTTAACGAGGACCAATACCCCACTCCCTCGGTCCCTATGCAGACAGATGCAAGTGGTCAACCACCCGCACACTGCCCGCAGTCAGTGATGCTTGACTTCGGTGATCTGCTGGTAACCGTGTCTTAACGATCAGTCCACTGCGGGACTCCGCCCAGTTACGAAACTAGTTAATTGTACTTTCTGAAACAAAAAATTAAATGTGTTAAATACAGCATCTTATGTCGTTTAGGATCAGCTTCAATATGGACTTCAATAAGAATACTTCAATAAAAAATGGAACTATATATATATATATATATATAGTTCCATTTTTTATTGAAGTATTCTTATTGAAGTCCATATTGAAGCTGATCCTAAACGACATAAGATGCTGTATTTAACACATTTAATTTTTTGTTTCAGAAAGTACAATTAACTAGTTTCGTAACTGGGNATATATATATATATATATTTCTAACTCACCCTGGATTGAGGTGTAGACCCATTTCTATGGTGGTTAGTGGTTAGAGCATCTGACTACGATCCCAAAGGTCTTTGGTTTGAATCCTGCCGGCAGCCAACAACACTCTCACTCCACATTGGTGACTACAGACACTCAAATTCTCGGTAGATATCAGCTCGATAGATATCAGCACTACTCTACATAGCTTTGTTCCTCGGCTTGCCTTGATTGGACAAATAAATCATCTGGGTCTACATTGTCAAGGCACGAACAGCACTGGAATGGTGACTTCACTAAAAACCAGGCGGCCTCTCAATCTCGTGAAACGTTCACGAGTTCACGACTGATAGTGAGTCAAACTTCTCGTTCAGTGCAGGAGGAGTGTGCGGCATCCACTACACATATAAAGCTTCTTAATTCAGAATTGAACCTCATTGTACATTCTTTTCAAAGATGTTCTCAAACATCCTTGGTTCGAATCCTGCCGGCAGACAACAAACATCTCTCTCCCACTCTCCTCCACAATATTTCAGTTTCCCTCCCCATTTTACAAGTTTCATCTAACAGCAGACAGCAGATTTTACTCCTGGGCTACTCAATTGTGCGTGCAGTGATATGTTTGAAAATAAAAATCTAGGTTTAGAGACGAGAAGGTACTCCAAGTTTTCCTCGCTAATCAAACCAAAATGTATACACAGAGTTCCAAATAGTAATCAATGCATGCTCAATGTGTTAATTACTTTACAAATTACTATTTTAATTTATAGAAAATTAAGAATTCAATTACTTCGTTGAAATAAAATATATTTTTGGATTGAAAATGACTCGAAAATCAGTCTGTCAAATGTATATTTAGTGCTTGTTTGAGGAACTCCCTGTAATTCTTTTTTAAACTTTCTTTTTTTCGCCAAAACTTTGCATTTGAAAATTTTTTTTTTCATAACCAGAGATGAATAGCAAAAAATTTTTTTCTCAAGTTCCATCAAAAAATGCAATTTAATTGGCAACGGATACTTAGGAATTTTTCTTAGTGTAATATCTAACAGGAATCAACTTATAAATTCATCAGCCCTACCCCAAAAAATCCTTTCATGCTACTTCACGAAAAATTTGTTTTACTGTAAATGTACTAAATTTCCAGAGTAAAACTATTTTTCGTGATAACTTTTTCTAAGTAATACTGTCTTAATATGATTTTTAATAACCTAAATGATTGGAAAAGGTTCTTTAAATTTGTATTAAATCAAGATTTAGCTCTATTAATATAGGACACAGTTTCGAACAAACCTTTAATTTTCATTTTTTGAAAAGTATAAGCCTAATAAAACTGTTTAAGTATAGATAAAAAAATAAAAATTTTAAGGTTCTTTGCTGCCGATTTAAATGAAATTTATTTATGAAAAAAAGCTAAGCCCAATTTACAGATCTCGGGGCTTTAGGCTCACAGTCACTTGGGGATCCTCTAAAAGAGTTGACAAGTATCAGTTAACATGTATGGTTCTTAATCACAATATCAAAAGATATATGAAAATTCAAAACTTAATTTAGCTAATTTTGGAAAAATACTAATATTTAATTGATAGCGTAAGAGTTATTAGTAAGAATGACAAAAATCATATAGGAAACAAGATATTTATGCTAAATATCTAGCAAAGCATCTAAAGCATTTTAAAAAAATTATTTGTAAGATCTATTATCTCTTCAAAAAGCAAGTACAAAGCACTAACAAGTTAAAGGTCGAACTATGTAGAAAAATTAAAATAATTTTTCCTTAATAAGTAATTTATGGTGGGGCCCCAGGCAAGTTTAGGACCCAGGGCTCGTGCCCCGAGTCCCCTTCCGTAAATCAGTACCTGAAAAAGCGAAACCATAATAAAGTTGTAGTTGTGGTTAATTTATTCATCATAATAAATTACTTTCTAATTTATTATAGTTTAATATATTTGTGAGTAGAAATTTCAATCTAAACACTTAAAATTTGGAAATATTTTAAATTTATCAGAACTTTTCGGTGTTTTTCAGGAAACTATCACGTTCTGGATAAACCTAATCCACGAGGTGAGGTCATAATAGGAGGGGATGCATTGACTTTAGGTTACTTTAAAAATTCTAAACAAACAATGGATTCCTATAAAATTGAAGGAGGTGAACGCTGGTTCTACACTGGGGATATTGGTGAAGTTTTTCCTGATGGAACACTAAAAATTATTGGTATGTTATACACAATAATATATATATTTATATACGTATATGTTTGATTACGAATTATATTGATTTTTAAAAATCAGACAGGTTGGATACCTGACATTTTTGATTTTGAAATTTTCAGGTTATGTTCTTAATGTAAAACTATTAGACATTAGTTTTTTTATTTTTGGGAGAGGGCCAAAACTGAAGATATTCGAGCATTTTCAAAAAAGAAAAAAATATCTATTTACGTGCGGTCATACTTTTGTGAAGTGAAGAAACCACGTCACTGATCCTTTTTTGTGTTCCACTACTTTCACACTAAATATTAAGATATAAATTCTTTCAGTGGAGCTTTACATCAAAAGTCGAAGGTCATTTAAAGATCTTCGATTATGAGGTAAAACTTAGACTTTGACCGTCAAGATCTACTTGTGACAAAATAGTGAAAGACAAAGATATATATTTCAGTGAATATATATTTTTGAGTAAATATCTTGATATTAACTAATGAGTAGTACCTAAAAATATATGTCTGGTATACATTTGATGCGACCTGAAAATTATTCTGAAAGTAGCAAGAAACTAAAATTTTGCACAATTTCAAGTTCATTAGTTGCTTTCCCCAAAACTATACAACTAGGAAATTTAAAACGAAAAGAAGTCTTAAGTCAAATAAAAACAAAATCAAATCACAGATCTATAGTTATATGATATAATCTATATGATTGTATGGTTAATATGGATCTATGGTGTGAAATGTTTTAAAAATATGTTTTAGGCACAGTATGAATATCTAAGGTCAACACCTTCTCTCGAGGTGAGCTTTAGTCTCTATCTAAAGTTTGATGAGAGTGAGGTGACCCCTCGTGCCCCGACTCGTTTCTATCCATCAGGCATGTGTTAAAATATTCCTAATTAATTTTTTACGTTGAATTGAATGATATCTTATTTAAAACGATATATCTAATATTTTTAAGAAGTTGTGTAAGTTTTAAATGGAATGTGAGCAAATTCTGACTGATACATGCATCTAATATTGTTATCCTGGTAACTGAGGTATTGATTCGAATGTATATTTTAAAGAATTGATAGGAACATTTCAGTTCACTAACAATAGAAAAGTTATAAAAGTTTTAAGTAGGTAATTGAAAAAAAATTACACAAAAGATTTATAACTTTTAAACTACTAGTAAACTGAAATGATGCTTTCAATTGCTTAAAAAATACATTGGGATAAATGCCCCACTTGCTTAGGGAGTAATGTCAGATACAAAGAGTCAGAATTTACTATCTTTCCTTTTAAAACTTAAATAAATATTGAAAAATTGGACAAATCGATTTAAGTGTGGTTTCATTACATTGGGAACATTATATCATTTTCTTAGATAGCAAGCAGTAAGTTTTGCTAGCCTTTATCTCCTCCTTCTTCGTAAATTCTAAATAGAAACTAGAGTTCACCTCGAGGGAGGGTTAACTTCAGATATTAATATTGAGCCTAAATCACATCTTTTAAAACAACCTAGAGCTTTCAAAAAACTATTTCCGTATTCAATTGATTAGGTATGGGCCTCAAAGTTTAGGACCACATTTTATAAAAGTTGAATCAGTTACCATTGATCGATGAATTTATTTTGTTTCTGCTACACTGAAAGCTCCTTTTCCAACAAATTTCTTGTCTAATTTTAGTAAAGGCAGTTAATCAGTTTGAAATTGTCAAAATTACAGCTTTTTGTTACTTCCAGGTAATAATTAAACTATCTATCATGAAACTAAACGATCATTAAACCTGAATAAATTTAGATTTAATGATTGGATCTTCACGTAGTCGATCGGATCTTCACAATCTTAATGGTTCAAGGGAGGAAATATGCTCACATATGCTAAGTAATCAGTGAAGACGTTATTTTAAGTTACGAAAATAGACACAGAAACGTGCTTTCTCTGAATAAACATACCTTTTTTTCAACGGATTTAGATTAGTTAGCCTCAAAATATGGGAGGTAGCATTAATCTGGGAAATATGGTCCAGGTAGTTAAGTAAAAAAAGCGGTCCACAGTTTAGACCCCTTAGTATTAATTTTACTTTTTGTGTATTTCACCATATCTTGGAAAAATTTGTAGCGAATTGAAAATTTTTTGCTCACAATTGCAAAATTCAATTATCCAAAGATAATTTCAGGCAAAAAATAATTTTTAATAATTATTTATAATTTTTTTATCAATTTACTTTATAATAGTTGGAAAAATTTTGAATTGTAAGGTATACAAATTTTTACATCATTTTAAAGAATTTAATTTAAACTAGCAAACTCTAAAAGTTGAACAATATTGGTCGAATAGTTCCTGAAATATCGAATTTTAAATATACGACTTTTTTAAGACAATTTAAACTGACGACTGAGAACGAATTCCATAAGAAGAAAATTCAAAATTTTTTCGACTATTATTAAGTAAAAAAATAGAAAGTCATAAATGACTATTAAAAATTATTTCTTGTATGGAATTATCATTGGATAAATGAATTTTATAATTGTGCACAAACTTTTTTCAATTTTTTTCTAGAAGTTTCCGAGATAAAGCGAAATATGCAATAAGAAAAATTAACATTTAGGTGTTCAGACTTTCGACCCCTTTCCTGACCAAACTATGATATTATATCCTATTTCCGAATATACCCAAATTAGGAACTCTACTTCTACCTTGATTGCTACAACTCTCCATATTTTGAAAGTAAAGAATCCAAATCCATCGAAAAAGAATTTTTTTTCAAGGAATATATGTTTTTGTGTCGGATTTCGTATCTTGAAATATCATTCGAACTAATTAATTAACATAAATGAGGTCCCCCCGTGAACCATAAAGTTTGAGTCCTTAGGTCAATCATTAGGTCAAAAAATCCGATCATTAGGTCAAAACTTATTCAGGGTGTTCGTTTTTTATTTTTTATTTTGCTCACTGCACACCATACATATGTCGACTTTTAATGTACTAATCATTAGCTTGTATTCCTAGAAATATATACCTTTTTGGTATAATCCCTTGAAGGCACAAGTAAGTTTTGACAGTCAAAGTTAAAGAAAATAGCCTTATTTCAAAGATTTTTTAATGACATTTGACCTTAAATGCAAAGGTTCACTGAAAGTATTTATGTCTTAATAGTCAGTGTGAAAGTAGTAGAGCACAAAATAATGGTCACAGTCGTTGTTCGTTCAATCATTTCAGAAAAAGTATTGCCGCATGCAAATAAATGTGTTTTCTTCTTGAGGATCATCAGTTTTGATTACCCAAAACTTCGAGAAAAAAACACGCATCTAATAGTTTTGCATAAAAATCATATCCTGAAAATTTCAACAAAATCAAATGTCAAGTATCCAACCTGTTCGACTCATAAAAAAAAAAAACTTGCTCTTAACAATGTAAAGATGATTAGTAATAAAGTAATGAACAATTATTTATAATAATCTTTCCAATGCTAAAATAGTAATTTGCTTTCAACTTAAATAACAGGTTCTAAGAAGACAATGAAATGTTGAGGAAAGTTGTCCTTTGCCAAGTTCAATTTATAATTATTTTCGTCCGACTAAAACGCGTTTGCTAAGTTAGAAATTTTGGTTTACTTATTATTTATTTAGAAGCGGGAAAGGAAACTTTAAAAATAAATAAATAATGAAACTTGTTATTCATTAGTAATATTCTTTGCTAGTCCAAACGAGGAAACTATGGAAATTGTCGCAAAAAAATTGTAAAGCTTAAAAATGGAGTTTTCTTCATTTAAAAATAATTTTCTTAAGAAAAATATCGAATGTTGTTTCCTTAAAGAACAGTTTTTAAATTTTTTCCTCAACAGCATCTAGAAATCTTTCAAATAAAGAAGTTTAAAATATCATTTTTGCCTCGAGAAGTATTTAATTACAAAGATTTGTACGGAAATATATGCATGAGGATCATTTCAATTTTATTTTATAGTTGTATGAGATTAAAAACAATAAATTTAAGAAAATGCTCTGAATAATTTTTGAGAATAATAATTTAATAATTATTTGCTCAACAACCCATACAGTTTTGAATTTACAAATAGTAAAATAATACTTATTATTTTATTTATTTACTTTTTATAATGAGATTTATAGAAATCGCACAACGAATGGAAGAGCTAGTGATCTAAAAGACTAAATAATACCATTTCGTAAAATATTTGTAATAAAACTACGCCTTTATTTGTTGTATTTCACTCACTTTGTCTATTCTAATTGAAAAAAAATGTAAGATTCCTACTTATTTTTTGTCTTCAAATAGCAGTACATCGTAATTTAACATGAAGAGGGCTTTCATTGTTTCATTTTAATTGTTCTTAGCCTACTATACAATTGACCAATTTGTTATCATTATTTTATTTTTAAGAAACTAACTTGACTGAGATATCACTATTTTCTAGGCCCACATTCAAATGAAAGAACTCATTCATTGAAGGTTTTTATTAATAATTTTTCTTAACCCTTTGGCGCAGATGGGATACAAGTGTCTTTTTTATATATTTTTTTCAAACGCTCTAATTACGAGTAAAAATATATTTAAATATTTTTTAATTATAAAAAACAGTCTAATAGTTCTATAATAAAAAATCTGTTAGGTTATCGGAATTATATTTTTACTGCAATATAAAATCTAAAAAAAGTAGTTCGAAATTTTTTCTTTGTTCATATTCAAAAATTTAACAATAAATATTGTAAATTAAGGAAATTTCAATAATGAATTAGTTTCTCTTAGATTTAAATAAATGCAAATAATTTGAAAAATTTTTGTTCGGAAGTGAGCCGTGTTGGGAAGATTTTACTTTCAACACAGAAAAGGAAACAGTTGTTCTATGCTGTGTTTCATAACCATAAATTATTAAAATGCTAAATATTATATTTTTAATTTATTTTGATCTAAATTAATAAAAAATAATGAAAAAGTGCAAATATTATGTTTAATGAAAATTCTACATCAAAGCTTCCTACATTTCTGCTTTTGATTTTGCTCGTAATTATTCGTTCTATATTTTTGGTTGACTATAGTTAATTATTATTTATTTATTTGTTACAATTTGCTTTTATTATAGTGCAGTTTATTTGCTGCGTCTTCTTAATGTTTTTCTTTTTTCAAATTTATTTTTATTGCTTTGCAGATAGAAAGAAAGATCTAGTAAAGTTGCAATTCGGCGAGTATGTAGCTTTGGGGAAGATAGAGGCCGAGCTCAAAACTTGTCCACTAATTGAAAATATTTGTGTATATGGAAATAGCTTTCATACATACATTATTGCTCTTGTTATTCCTTCTCAACTCGAGTTAAAACGCTTAGCACAAGAACTAGGAAAAGAGGATTTAACTTTTAAGGAGATGTGCGCGGACGAAGAGATTACAAATTTAGCATCTGAAAGAATCCGAGAATACGGCAAGCAATGTAAGTATCAAAAAATCCTTGTTGCAGATAGAAATTTAAAGATCTTCAAAGCAATTTGAACTCATTTACAAAAATACCCTTTAAGGTGTTTAGTAACCAAAATAGACTTATCAGCAGAAAACTTTTCCCTAACACTAAAAAATGTACTGTCAAAAATTGAAAAAAAAAAAACTAAAAATTATTATTATTATTTTAAATGTTATGTGTTATATGTTTCTACTTTAATTTCCCTTATAGGCTAATTATGACTAAATCAAGAAACTTAAATATTTTTTTCATAAAATAAAAGAATTTTTCTCACTCGAAAACCATTGGAATTTGTTTTTTATTTTAATTAAAACAGAAGCTAAAAAAATTAAAAAACCATTTTCCCTTATTAGGCTGACATAAAATTGATCGCCTATTTAGCCCTATGTCTTAAAAAGAGTGTTTGAAAGTTATTTTAAAGTGTTTTCTCTTTATTTCCACAATTTTTAAATTTAATATCTTAACATTTTCAAGTCCGATTTAATAGTATTTTTTCCTTAATGCTATCTACATATTTGTCTAGGGAGAAGACTACGCACTAACAGATCAAACTATAAATTTTTATTTTTCAGTAAAAGTAAAAAGAAAAATTGTATTTTTTACATTTTTGTCAAATGCGTTACAATATTAGCTGTAAATTATTTAAAAATTAATATTATATCTAACGTATAGTCTATTGTTTAAGTTCACTTCATCCGCTTCAAGAAATATATAAATAGAAAAGAAAAAAATTAACAGTCGACTTGTTTCAAGCGCTGAAAAATAGGAGCTCATTTAAGACTTGCCAGACGTGGATGATAAGACAGGAAAGTGGTTTGAAATATGAAAAGTTAAGTTCCCAACAAAAAAATGGAAAAATAAAGGTGAGAAACAAAACTAAAAAACCACAGTAGTTAAGAGAATTAAAAAAAGATGAAAAACAGAACAAGAAAAACCACTGTGGCCGAGAGAGCAAATCAGGGTAAAATGCATTTCCACGCGCCAATGGGATGTGGTGAGGAATTAATGTCGTTAACAACAGATTCAGCATTCATATGAATAAACCAAGATTTCAGGGCATCAGGATGAGCTGATGTGACTGGGGTGAAAATAATTTTGGCTAACGGATATATCTATTCTGTTCCTTAAGTCTAAATTTTAAAAACGCGTCTAGTTTGTCTGATGTAGCTAAGGTCTCGCTGACAATCGAAACACCCTAATAGTGAATGCACCCCTAGGAATGTGATAAATGCCCTAACGATTATATAAGTGATGCGATTACGATTATTTTTTCTATTGACATATTTTTGAAGCGAATGAATCCGGTAATATCCTACCGTTTTAGTTTCTCGGAATTATTTATTTAAGATAAAGCTGTAACTTAAAATTGCAAGATACTTTTAAATTCTAAAATAAAATTTAAGTATGAAAATTATTTTCGAAATAATTATAAAGCTTATATTTAATAGGTCGCTTGTTTGGATCTGAATTACCAAATAAAATAAGACTTTGCCACGAAGAATGGAGCCCTGAGTCTGGCCTAGTCACAGCTGCTTTTAAGCTACGAAGAAAAGATATAGAAAACCATTATAAATCGGTGATAGATAGTATGTACTCAAAGAGCAATGACAAAGGAACTAGCTCAACATGATCTACGTCAACTTGTAAGATTGCAGAATTTTGACGCCATCTATTGCTTCATTATGATCAAACTCAATGGAAACACATCAATATTTTTCAAGAGCATTTACAAGTTAAATTTGCTTATTTTTCACGAAAAGTTTTTAAACAGACTGACTATAAACATTGCCTTTAAATTTTTAATATCATTTTACATTATTCGTACGTCTCAGTTATGTAGAACTACATGTTAAAAACAAAAAATATTGCCATGGATTTTTCTATCAGTTTTAAGAGTTAAAATAAATGTTTCTTAGTTTTACGCTCTGCACTAAATTTTAATATTCATTCTTAAATATTTATGTTATAATCCTAAAAGGTAAGTATTAACAAGATGGCACGACTTCTATATTTATTTCCAGGAGACAGCATTAAGGATCGTGTTTTGAAAATACTCTGCCTAAAGTTTTTTTTTTACTATGACAAAAGTTGAAAAAATGTGTTTTTTAATAAGCCTTTAAAGACATAAAAGCAATCGTTTTAAATTCTTGATTTATATTTTATTGCAATAAATTTTTATATTCATGTAGTTTCAATATTTGTGTGTGATTTTTTTTATGAATTACTTCGTTCTTCTATAAACTACCACCACTTTTATGCTCACTATTCACGTGAAAGAACAACTATAGCTCAATACTAAATTCTTTTGTACGGCCCCCTAAAAAGCGAAATTATTATTATCCCATTGTCCAGACCTTGGCCAAAGGATACCTGATGGCTCCTTGTTCGCCAAGGTCCAGACTATAGTATAACTTCATGGGAACTTTTAAAGGTAAAAACTATGTTTTAATTCTTTCTAACGTACAAGACGTATTATAAACAGATGAACTCTGCTCAAATAATAAGTAATGTGTTTCTTAATGACTACTCTTAATGTACAGGGTGTTTCGGAATAACCAACATTGAATATATATTTTTGGAATCCTTTATCAGACAAGAAGTTCAATAGGCAGACTTACTATTAGATATTGCGAATTAATATTTAAGCGAAGAAGAGAAAAAAAATGTCGAAATCTGATGAATCACTTTTGAAAGAGGTGCTATAAATACAATCAAAATGTTTTTAATAAGCGATTTTCAACTCAGCTGTGTATTTTCCTGTAAACAAAAAAAATTTGGTGTTTTTAAAAAAGCCTTCTTTAATATTGCTTCACCAGGTTTCATGGGCGTTTTTACTTTATCTTAGCCTCCCATGTATAGAATGAATCTATAGTATCAATAATAATATGTCGAATATTTACTTTTTTTTCTAAATGAATTGGTAACATTTCTCCATTAATATTGCTTTTTCGCTTTATAATTTTCTATAGTATGATTTAGGCCACGGGACAAGTGATAAAATTATTCAAGTGCGTTTACCAACTTTTGCCACGAGGCTATTTTTTTATACATATTTATGTATACACTTTACATTGCTATCTAGGATTTACCTGAAAATGTTATGTAAATGTTTCGATGTAATTTTGCACTATGAATTGTATGAGATGAATACCGATACGATCGGACAAAGAGTTTAGAAGTTATAAGCGTTTTATGTACAAAAATTACACTATTGTACTTGCACTTATTTACACATTTTACATTGCTACACAGAGAAGTGAGGTATTATTTCCTATGTATTTTTCTCGTTTAATCGAATGAGACCAAGCATGAATCAAGAGGACTAATATTTCAAAAGTTGAAAATATTTTTTTTAATATGAAATGTACTATTTTTGTTTTTCATTTATTTTTAAGAAGACCCTTGTCACATTAAAACTATTTATTCAATCAACTCGAATTTTATCGCATTCAATTCCATACATAAAAATTTCATTGAAAAATTTACCTCATATGTTCAGATAGCTCATAGATAGCAAAGTAAAAAATATAAAAAAAAGGGAAAAAAAAGAAAGCAATTTATGTATGAAACCACTTGAAACTTTTAAACTATTCGTTATATTGACTCGTGTATAGAATCATTCGATTCTATACACGTTTCAATTTTTAAAATAAATATACTGCGACTTTTGATTTTCAGGATCTTTTCAATAGCATTCCCCTTTCTAAACTAAAAGATGTCTTTTTGAATTATTACTATGATTTTAAAAATATCCTTAAGTGAGATTTTGAATGTTGGGAAATTCTAATTAATTTTTGTCATTTTAAAAATTATCTTTACAATGGAAAAAATATTTTTCTTCAAATTGATGGAATAACACAATGACCTAATTTTTCATCTCTCTTAGCTAACTTATTTTTGCATTACACAGTGGGCCAGCATCCAAGTTTTCGTGGCCAAAATTAGTATTTCGATAAAATTTGTTTCAAAATTTGGGGTTTTTTATGTGCAGGTAAATTGAATTCATAGTTGAAATTTTGAAATACGCTAAAAATACCAAAACAAAAAAAAAACAAAATGGCGACTGAAATATGGAGAGCAAAAAATATAAATAATATAGTACGTTTAAATAATTACATATAGCAATGAAAATATAATAATTTTCGTAATTTTATATTAAAAATGAAAAGCAAATTGTATTTCCGAAATAATATTTAAAAAAAAACTCAAATTAATTACAAAATAACGCGAAAACATGAAAAAAAAACATAATTTTTGTTTTTCGGTATATTTTGTCCACCTTTGCAATATGGGCAAAATGGGGCAGGTTTTTTCGAGAGAAGAAACATCAAAGATGACAACAAAAAATTTTTTAGCTAATTACCTTGAGGAACTTTTTTGGAGATAAGTTTCGAAAGTGATTCAAACATTGTAAAATGTCAAATGATAAGATATAAACTATAAGTTTGTCAAGAGTATTAACTAATCCAACAAATTGAAAAATTGTACTATAATTTCAGACTAACTACTCTGATAAAAATGCAACAGTAAGGTGAAATTCATTTCATGAAATATATTTCTGAAATATAAATTTAAAAGTTGCATTAAAAAAAATTTTTTTTAAAACATATTTTTCACTACATTGTACTCTCGTCGGTCCAAAAAGAAAATTATAATGTTTGGAATGATTATGAATACTTAATTTGGGCGATATTAAAATTGCCTACACATATTTTAGGTGAAAATTTAATTTTGACTTTTGGCCAAAGATCATGGTCTTCTGGCCCACTGTGCATTATTATGAAAAAAATTATACTCTGAATATTAAATTTGTTTTTAGATTTATTGACGATTTAATTATCTTTAATTTTCAAGATTATACTATTTTATTAAATAATATTTACCCCAAGGAATCAATTTTGCTTCGTAATCATGATGATAATATTAATTTAAATTTTTTGCATTTGGGTATGATAAAAAAAGAAAATATCTGCTTTGTTCATTTATGCAATAAAAGAGATGATTTTAATATAAATAAGCTAATTACTTGAAATTGCAATGCTTCTAAGAACATCTATTAAGATACCATTTTTAATCAAATGAATAGAATTAAAATAATATGTAGTAATGTTTATTAATCCAAAAAACAAATAGACAAACTCTTTCCAAAATTTGATACGAAAAACAATAGATACCCAACTAAACTAATTAAATTCTCTATAAAATCATTGAGTTAATTGTATATTATTGTAAATAAATTTACTAAAAAACTTTTTTGTTAATTTATATAATTTTTACCATGTGCAAATCCATTTCGGGCAAATCCGTGGCTAAAATTATGTGCAAAACAGGCAATTCATGTTATTATGTGCAAAACAGAAAATGGAAGCCATCATCCCTCAGATGCCTTCTTCAGAACTTTTCATGACCAAAAATGTTTCCTTTGTATATTTTTTGACATAAAATTAGGATAAGCTTTACTTTATACTTCAAACCTCCCCCCTTTCCCCTAAAAATCGAATTTATGATTATTTTGCCCCAATTTAACAAGTTTTTTAACAATAAATTTGCTCCCTCCCCGAGGATATTATTGGAACCAATCCATTTCTAACCATAGAAAATTCACTGAACATTTTTTAAAAAAAAATCATGGAAAAGTTCAGATCCTGAGTTATTGAGCTACTTACAATTTCTTTGATTTTTATGAATATTTTAATAAAAAAATTCAAACAAAATTCCAGACGAGATGACTTATGGACATTTTAAAAGGAAAGTAGAATGTGATTAATATTGCTACTTATGTGCAAGGAAACTAAAGTAGGGAATAGAATTTGAGATAAAAACGATTGTTCCATTTTATTTATCTCCCATTTCCTTAACTCATTCGACTGATTTACAATAAAGTAAGGTGTAACAATAAGGTAAGACATATTTATTTTAAAAATTGATGATAATAAAAAATGAGTAACTTTTAAAATAAGTATGAGCGTGAATGAAATACTTGTCTAATAGCTGATAACACTTTAAATGAAAATTTGCATAAAAAATGCTTTTTAATTTTCTTGATAGTTATAATTACTAAATTTTAGGTGTGTGAAATGTAAAAACAAATATCGGGAGCTAAATTATTCTATAAGGAAAATAATAAATATTAAATTAAAAACTTTTGTTACTTAATTATTTTCGTTGACCGTAGGGTTTACCTTTTTCAGATAAATGCAAGCCCACCCCCAAGTAACATTAGCTGTTTTTTCCTTTATTTTGATTAATTTTTCCATTTTTTTTAACACCAGATTTAGTTTTTTAACTCCATTTAATTGCTTTTCATTGAGTATGTCATAACATTTGCATTTGGAGCAATATTGGCGCTTTCATCTCTTGTGATACTTTCTACAGTTAAGCAAATCATATTTTTTTTAAATGTAGTTAGTATGAAAGTCTTATGAAAATTTCAAAGAGAATGAATATATTGTGGGTTTCAAATCTGCATAATATATATATATTTTTTAAAATTTACTTTTTTAAATTAAAATGCATATTTTGTGCATTTAAGTCAAATAATGTGCAGCTCTTGTGTGACATAAATAAAGTACTTCTACTCATTTAAAAATTGAGAAAAATGTTTCAAATAAATATCTCGATGTAAAGAAATATGAAGAAAAAAGATTGCACTAGAGAAGACGATCACAAATATACTGCAAATATACACCGAAGAGCCATTACATTATGACCACCCTCCATCTATACCAATGGGTTCACCCTGGTTTTCATGGTTTCTCGCCCAGGAACAATGTTTTCATGGGGCACATTAGGACCCATAATCCTCATAGAAGAATCCCTGACATCTGTAAGTTACTTGAACATAGTTGCAGACAAGGTTCACCTATTCATGGCAACAGTTTTTTCTACTGGATATGGTGTTCACTAACAGAATAATGCCCCATGTCATAAGGGTCGAATCGTCGAGGAACATTCCAGTGACTTTCAAGTCATGTCTTGGCCTCCAAATTCACCTGACCTTAATCCAATAGAGCATTTGTGGTCCTACTTGGAAAACCAAATTCGTGCTGCCACGCTACCCCCTCGCAATGTGAGGGAATTGCAGGACCAGTTGGTGAGCGCTTGGTACCAGATACCTCGGACTACCTATCAGCACCTTGTGGAATCAATGCCACGGCGGATGCTAGCAGTTTTGAGGGCTAAAGGTGGTCCTACATGTTATTAGCATGGTGGTCATAATGTAATGACTCTTTGGTGTATACACTTGCATATACAAACTGGTTCACGCGCAGTGCCGATAAAAAAACTGACCACCCAGAATTACTTTTGATTGAATGATCGGATCTTCACATTCTGGGAATCAATTTTAATTCGCGATCGTAACTCTCGATTACGCCCTCGTGTCTTGACCCCCCTTTCCTCTCCTCCTCATCTTGATTGCATGAGAATGCACTACAACATTTTACCTTTCTTAATATTTTTCTTATTTAATTGTCAAAAGCATTTTTAAAACTTCCACTGCACTTTCTTTTAGAACTATCTTCAATGTAGTCTTCATTTCCATATATTTTTCTAACTTTAAACTTTTAAATCTCTATTTGAAAATCAACGTACTTTCCTCTCTTATGACTCTCTACAAGCTAATGGAGAAGACATAGAATTGTTGCCATAGGTAGAGAGTTTAGATCTACTCCACCTGTAGCCGATTTCTTTTGCGAATAATTTTTCGAAAAATAATTCACTTAAACTCGAGGTTGTTTAAATTTCACTTCAAATCAACCTGGCTGAAGAGCTGCTTTGATTTTCAAGGTATACAGGTTGTTTTTCTGACACTTATAACAAAAAAGGTATTTATGAGGTATAAAAAATCTATCTTATTTCAACTAGAGAGTTAGGTATTTATTGAGGTGCATGATATAAGTTTATTTTTACCTTAGCTTATTTTGAGGTTGTTTAATGTACACTTCATTATAATTAGCTCACTTCCGCGCGAGCCGGCGAATGGCGTGTGTATTGACAATCGAAAGTCTATAAGTGTCTATAAAGTCAGTAAGTGTGTTTGACATTTATTTATTTAGTTTTATCACTTTTAATCAAATATCACTTTTAATTGAGTCGCTATGGCTCAGGTGATAGAGCGTTTGCATTCCAATGAGGCGAACCGGGTTCGAATCCCAGTCGATACGAATTCCGCATCCGGCTTGCACCGACCACAGTGCTGACGTGAAATATCCTCAGTGGTAGACGGATCATGGGTTAGAGTCCCCTTGCCGTCAGACTAACCGTGGGAGTTTCTCGCGATCTTCTTCTCCATGTAACGCAAATGCGGGTTAGCTCCATCAAAAAGTCCTCCACGAAGGCAAATTTCTCCCAATACTCGATCCAGGAGTTCCCTTGTCTTCAGGATTGGGTTCAAAATTACAAGGCCACGAAGTTGAACATTAGTAGTCGTAAACCCAAAAATTGGGTCGGCTGCTCAACGACGGTAATAAAAAAAAATATATGCTTGAGCAGTGATGGCTCTGGGGATAGAGCGTTCACCTTCCAGTGAGGTACACCGAGTTCGAATCCCAACGATGATTGGTTGATGCGAATTCCGCATCAAGCTTGCACCAACCACAATGCTGACGTAAAATATCCTCAGTGGTTGACGGATTATGGGTTAGATCCCCTAGCCGTTTGGCTAACCATGGGAGGTATTCCTGGTTTTTCTCTCCATGTCTCGCAAATGTGGGTTAATTCTATCAAAAAGTCCTCCACGAAGGCAAATTTCTCCCAATACTTGATCCTGGAGTTCCCTTGTCTTCTGGATTGGCTTTTGGCTTCGGAGTTGAACATAAGTAGTCGTAAAACCGAAAAATTGGGTCGGCTGTTCAACGACCGTTATGAAATGTAAAATCAAATCAAATATGCTTCAATTTCAAATTTTATTATTTTTGTTTTAAGGACGCATCCTGATCTTAAATAATTAAAGTCGGAGGATATTTTTAGAGTCTATTGTTGTAGGTTTAGCAATAAGAGAGAAAAAACGGAATGTTTTCCCTTTTCTTAATATTTTTCCTTTTTATTTAATAAAAATATTTCTTAAAATTTCCGTGATGCTTTTCTTTAGAACTATGTTTAATGTAGTTTTCAGTTCCAGATAGTTTTCCAACTTAAAAGATCTTAATCTACATGAAAATCAAGGGAGAAACTAATGTACTTTCTTCCTCTATGACTCTCCACACGCTACTGGAGAAAGCATGCGAAGTGCTGCCATAGGTAGATAGTTCTGCTCTACGCCACCTGCTGCAGCCCATTTCAATCGCCAATTGAGTTTATGTAAAGATTTGTAAGAAAAAAGCAAGAAAATCTAATAATCAAACTTATAAGTACCATAATGAAAGATGTAGGTTCAATTATAGGAAAATGAAAAGTGTTAAAATTTCCTAATAAGATTAGAATTATATATTTGAATTTCTATAAAGGTTGTTAATGGTAGTACTTTCCTCAGTGTATTTTATTTTGTGACTGTGGTACCTGTCAAACCTTTAAATGGTTTTAGTTACGAGGATTGAATAGAAATGACAAAAGTGGAATGCCATTTATCTGAAAAAGAAAATTAAATCTCATCTAGTTAATTTAATTTTTGAAAAATAAAACAAAAATTTATTCTGTTTAATTAATTCTATTGAAGATCATATGATTCTAATATTTTAAAACCTGCCTCTATGTTACTGTAAATATGATTTTCTTACCAATTCCTTTTTTTAACTTTTAGATCCCCATATTTCCAAGTTTAACACGTGAGGTTGATTTATAATAACCGGAAGTGTCAAATAGCACACCTTAGAAGAATAAATAAATACCTCAACATCCATATAAATCTGCACTTGAGGTTGAAAAATAATAACGTAAAGTAGAACATCGATCAAATCACGTTTATAGAAAAAAAAAAAAAAAAAAAAAAANATAAAAAAAAAAAAAGAAACTCTTTAATGGTCGAAATATACACTTGAGGTTGATCTATAATAACTTGATGTGTAAAATGACGTTACTTCAGTAGATAAAAAAAATACCTCTACAAACATAAAAATATATACTTGAGGTTGAGATATAATAACCGGAGGTAGAACATAAAACACCTCACATTTGCAAAAAATTACCTTTACAACTGACAAAAAGTACACTTGAACTTGAGGTAGATCCAGAATAACCTGAAGTGTTAAAATAAACATTTTGCTTTTGTAATTGCTTTTACATGTGTAAAAAAGTATATTTCAGGTTGATAACTAATAACCTAAGGTTGTAAAGAAAGCACCTTAAAGAAGTAAATATCTACCTCTCCACAGATGTAAGATGAAACACATCAGGTCGATACATATATACCTTTGGAGGTATATTTAAGGTATATTTGAGGTATTCATTTGCACCCTTTTCAACCTAGTGACGTATTTAAATAACAACCACATTTATACTTTTTAAAAATACCTCAATTTTTCTGTAAGGGTATTCAGAGAAAGTTGGTTTTTTGTTTGATTTCGTAACTTTAAATATTATCATCACTAATTAATTAGCATATTTGAGATTATCTCTTTACACTACAGCCGAGGAAGAATGAGAACCTGGCGAAATATATTCTCCGGCGAAATACTCACCCACCAGCAGGTTCTCCTTTTTTCTAGATGGTGATCAGAGAAGCGTGAATTGAGTGCAGCGAAAACGGTTCCTTAATGAAAACACTTCTGAGAATGCTGTGTAAAGCCGGTTCTTAGTTCCTCCAGACCACGAGTCTGACCTATGGCCTGTATAACCTAGGTTTTCAATCATCCATGTCCCTCCTTAATGTTCCCCCCCTTTTTTTTTGATCTTAAGCTCCACCCCTTAATACTACACGAGCGCTCGTTTAATATGATGACACATTGTGCGTTTTGCGCAAGTCCGGTGTGAAGGTAAACAATAATGTTTGAAAGTTTGGAAATCCTGAACTTTTAATTTTGAAAGTGTAATATCGCTGACAGGGCACAGCAAAATGTAAAAAATAAGACAAAATCGTAGGCATGCTAAGTATAATATATTCTATAATTAATTATTGATTGTTAAATGACATTGATTTAAAATTTTTAATTCGTTTAGAATGACAGATTTTGCATGTTACCGTTGAGAAGTTAATTTGAAATGGAAGATCAAGATCATGAAGAATGGAAAGCCTTCCATGAGAAAACTAGAGAAATAATTGTAAGAAATTGATTATTTCACGGGGTTTGTTTCATTCCTAAGCGTTTTTGAGTTTAAGTGTTTTTGCAATTAGAATGCTATACACTAAATTTGTCAAATGGGAATTATTTGCTCTATCTACTGATTTTGTTTTGAATCATTATGAGTGTATTAAATTGTAAATATTTTGTTTTGTGTTTTAAGAAAACTTTTATGAATTTAGATGTTGCTTTAATCTAATTTCAAATGTCTAGCATTTCTAAAGGTATTGGGGAAATTTAGACAAATGTGGTATTGCTTTTTAATGTATTTGTTTATGATAGTTCGGATAAAACCGATCCCAATTAGATAGATTAATACTTTAGAAATTATGTAGATCTGTATAACAAGGTTGGAATTTCAGCTGGATCAAGGTGTGTAGTGTTTTTAAAAAGTTCTTCTTATTTTTTTTTAAATCCCTTAAAGGTGCTTTTTTCATTAGGTGTTTTTTAAAAGTGCATAATTTTCTCTTTTAAAAATGAGATTTTTTTTCTTTTCCAAACTGATTGAACCCCAATGCTAGCAGGGTATTGTTTTGTCAGTCTGTAACTTTCAAAAGCACTATTTATTTTGCATATTAGATTAATTTCTTGCAAATCCACTAATCTGGTTTTGAGAGAAAGAATTCTTGCACTCACACGGGCTAATGTGTGGTATTTTATGAGAGATTTCTGATTTCAGGCTTCATCCCTTGTTCTTGGAAATTGAACCAAAAATCTCTTGAATTTTCCTGATTTTTTTCCTTATTAAACATTGCCAAAATTTTTTCTCAATAGCAAAAGGAAATTTTATTTCTCCTGTTATTTTCTTCTCTTTTAAAGCATCATCACCTCTTTGTCACTGTTAAGCTGATAATGTCCATGCATTGTTCTATTTATGGATCAGTATCACAATCCTTGTACTTGACTGGGGGATCATTCACCAATTATGTACTTTCATGTGAATCCCGAGCAGTCAACTATCCCATAGCTTCATCACCTCAAAATTATCGTCTTTCTTTCATTTATTTGATTTGATAAAAATAAGAGAATTAATTGAGATTTTTTAATCATGGAAGTGTTTGCCTCAGGGTCCTTCCACCAAGTGAAATTCAATGCTGTTCTCTAATTTACATCTGTAATATGAATTCATTAAAGTTTTCTCAATTCCTTACATATCTTTGTCAATTTGGTAAGATCAATAATATCTTTTAAATATTCTTGTTTAATATATATGTTTATAAAATTTTTTTGTTTTTAATGTAGAAAAAAAATTTCCAATAACATTTCTAAAATATAGTCTTGTACCTATCCTTAATCGGCAAGACTTCAACAAGTCATAAAAAGTGATTTTTTTGGATAATAAGTCTTTCAGGTAGCAAACATCATAACATGTGTAACTTATATATGTTAAAAAAAAAAAATGAATAAAGGTGAGTAGTGAATAATTTGAATTTTCTCTTTCTTGAATAAGGACATGTTTATTTATTGATTTTTTCATTTGATGCAAAGAATTAGCTGAGCAGATAATCAGATAAAAATAACATTATAAAAAGCTTCATTATCCAAAAGTAAATTAATCCAATTTATTAAAAAAAATAATATAAAACAAGGAACAGAATTCAGTAGATTTTGTTAATAGGAACATTTTTAATTTAAAGTAAAGGGAAACAAAACATGTCTTCTGGTATTCTTTTCAACCACTATTAATTTTCAGCTTCATTAATATTCATAATTTACTCTTCTCACCCAAGTTTGTTTCTTTTTAATTGCTCTCTTCTTTTCAACACATCTTTTAGTGTGCTTTTTGAAGTTGAATGGATAATGAGCTGCAAAAATAAAGAAAAAACTGATAGCAGAAATTTTTTTTTTTTTTGACAAATTGCAACAATAAAAATCCATAACCATTAAAGTGCTCACCAATAATTGTCTGATCCCGACTTATAATTTTTTTTTATTGATTCTCAATATTTGTTATCACAAATTATATTCAGGGGAGCAGAATATGTCTGACCGTGCAAACGAGGCTTTAATTTAAAGAAAATTCACGCAGCCATGGGGAAATTTTTGGTCTAAAAAATTCCTACAAAATTTCTGGTGTAAAAACATATGTCTATTTGTGTAGTTATAGTTTGAAATCCTTTAGTTTATAAGTGGTATGGTATTAGTATTAAATTTAATTCGATGAATTATTACTATTTCAATATATTTTGATTTCTAATATTTTATAACCTATATGCTCGTTTATTAAAGAATTTTGTAAAATCAAAGGAATTTTTTTTATATGTAAACTTTATCTTCCAAAAATATTTTGTAAAAGTTATTGTACTATTAAAAAGCTACAATTTTTGGGATAATTTTGATCTAAAAAGAAACTTTGTTCATAGGGATTATTAGGTGCTTAAAATTTTCTGCATTCCTTGTTATATATACAGTGCTAAAATGAAAGGGACCACCCCGAATAACTTCTGATCTAATGATCAGATCTTCACATTCTAGGACTCCATCTTAACGGCACCAGGGTGTGACCTCAAATATGCTAATTAATAAGTGCCGATGATATTTTAAGTTACAAAATCAAACAAAAAACTCGCTTTCTCTGAATGAACATGCCATTTTTTTCGACGGATTCGGATTTCTGACTCCCGAAATGTAGAGAGTAGCTGCAATCTGGGAAATATGGTCCCAATAGTTTGGTTAGGAGACCAATCCAAATTTTGGAATTAAACCTATGGAATTAATCAGAATTAACCTATACAGAAATAATTGTGCTTTGGAAAAAATTTGGATTTTTCGCTAACCACTATCCGGAAGTATCCGGAAATCCAAGGTGCAGAAGTTTCTAGAAATCATCGATCACATTTATGTATAAAAATTCTTGCATATTTTATTTGAAATGTTTGAACTAGATTTTATACTTGGCATCTTTTTCATTGGTAAATATTTTTTGGTAGAATCAAAAATGTGATTAGAGATAAAAGTAAACTTATACATAATTATTCATTTAAATTATGCTGCATTTAAATTTATAAAGACATAAATTTTTTTAAATGAGTCATTTTACTCAAGAAATTTTCAGGATTTTTCAGTTGGGCTCGCAGTCACCCCTGCCTATAAACACAGATAATTTTTGTGTGTAATTATTATTTTAACAGTTAGTAAATTTTTCTTCAAAATAGAATATGAATAAAAAGGTAGTATTTTTTAAGGATGGCAGCTTATTTTTACAAAAAAAGGTGTATTTGTAGAGATCAAAGGGCAGACAAGTCGGGCCGCCCTTCTAAAAATGCTTTGGGAGAACACTGTAATTATAAACTTGGGTTTCACTACACTTATTTGCCTAAATTATTGAACTATAGCTGTTATTTTAGTTTCTGAAGTGAGGGAAGTGTATATAATATATTATAATTGTATTTTTCTTCTCAAACAAAGTGTTTTAGTATGCAATTGTTATTCATTTTTTAACTTGTTTATTATTTTAACTGCCAGCTGTTAAAAAATTTTTGGTCATAAAATGCTTGAAAAATAAATAAAAGCTATGTATTTTATAAAATTAAAGAAATTTTGATTTTTTAAAAAACAGGGATGAGATTCTTCCTCAAATTCGCGGATTTCCGCTTTTTTTTTCAGATTTTTCCATTTTCCCCGCTAATTTCTGCTGAAATTGTTTTTTGCACAAGTTAAAATTTTTTATGAGGAATTTAATTTTCGGCCAAGCGAAATTATTGAAGTCCTTATTCCTCCCTCTGAAGTTTTTCTAAAAATCATTTCCTTGGGATAAAACTGGTTGACCTTTATACAGTGATGAGAATTTCAGCTTTTCAATCAAAAACTCCGATTCTCTAAGAGTTTAGTTTTTTTTTATAAATATCCCGCTTTTTTTTTTTTTTTTTTTTTTTTTTTTTTTTTTTTTTTTTTTTTTTTTTTTTTTTTTTT